TGCCAGTTAAAATGTCACATCCCACATCATACTACCTAGGTGTGACTCCCAGATTCAGCTCCTGATTTCAGCTTCCTGCTAATACAGACCTTGGGAAGCAGTGGTAATGGTGTAAGTAGTTGAATCCTTGCCACCCACAAAGGAGACTCCGGTTGAGCTCCTGCTCTCAGCTTTGGTAAACCAGCCATTGCATGCATTTGGGGAGTGAACCAGTGAACCAATAGATGGGAGCTTACTTTTTCTGTCTCCCCCTATCTCTTTCTCTTCCTCTCTCAAATACATAAACAAAAATTAATATATTTTTATTTTCATTTTCTATTTATGTTATTCCTATTGCTAACTTGTGAAGTTACTGATAAAGTGCTAGATAGAAAATGTAAATTCGTGAAGAGAAAAATGTCACTGTGTTCTAGAGAAGGCTGAATTTGGGGGGAAATTAATTCTTATATAGAATTATTATAAACTCAATGGTGCAAAAAAAGTATCAATAATATTAGCCTTCTATGCATGCTTCATTGTTATTCTCACTTTGCAGCTGAGGTAACAAAGCCAGAGAGAGGTTTAAGACACTTCTCAAGGTTGAGGAACTACCAGTAACAGAGCTGAGATTCAAATTTAGTAATCTAACTCCTGAGAATCGTGTCCTAACCATAATACTTAAGACTTCTTAAGTCAAAAAGCAATCTTTCTACATTCTCAATTTGTTTCTGTTGTTTTACATAATCTTTTGAGAGAAATTGACCAAATCTTGGAAACTCACATGTTCCTTAGAATACATCTCCTTGTCATCCTGATAGGAGTGAATTTTTCTCTGGGCAGTTTATAACCCAACCTTCAAGAATAATAGACTCCTTGTGCCTCAGTCACATTTTACAGTCCCAGTAATATAGCATAGCCTTTGTGAATGTAGATTTGTTAATCGGGTGAAACAAAAAGAATGCTGTGTACTGAAAATTAACAAGTGGGTTCTGTATTCCCCTGCACTTGCTCTAGTATCATAGAGCAAGTGATTTGGGTATGTTTCAGGAAAAAGTTTTCTAAGATTGTTCACATAATCCACCCAATTCTTGTACATCCCCAAACACCATCTAAAGAAGGCATATATTCTGACTTTAAAATAATACTTTCAGTGTAACTCACAAGAAAGCTTATTGTATGAAAGATAACTATTTATTATGATACTCATGTTAAATGGCCCATTTGCTCAATTATTTATTTATTAATAAAATTCGTCAATAAGCATCTTTCAATAAACAGTGTATGATGCTGAATACAGGAAGTAAAGATCCAATTGAGATATGATCTTATAAAAATATAAAAATTATTATACACAAATTCAAAAGATAAATAATAAGTTAAGAAAAAAATTAGGACAAATTTAGAACTGATAAAGTCTAATTTCTATGACATACATAAAATTTTTATCACTCAATAGGATAAGGCAATGACTTGAGAAAGCCATTAGCAGAAAACATAATATAAATAACCAATAAATATACCTCATACATAATTTAACTGAAAACTATACATACAACTTTACCACCCTTTGTAAGACTGGCAAAATTATTACTTTATTTTCCACTTTAGCGGAAAATGACTCATGACACTGTACAATGTTACAACATTTAGAAAAAATGGCTTCTTGTTTGTTGCACAGTGGGAAAAATAAACCATAAACACCAAATGAACAAAACACAAGAGTCCCTTCTTACAGATGACATCTTTGTATATAAAATTCGATATACATTTATAAACATTACTCAAATTAAAAGTTAACAATTGGATTACCTCTGACTTGCAGATTTAGTGCTTTAGTCATAGCCAAATTTAGGAGCTACAGTGTTGGTGTTATAATCCAAGCAAGTCTCAATAAAGTTTTGGAAAGCTATGATCTACACGATTATCAACAAGAAGGAAGACCCTCCCACCCCAGGCTACAAACCTGTAGCTATTAATAGAATCACTCCCCAGTCCCTGCAGAAGTTGTAGCAGCCTAATTTTCAATGTCTCAAGCCAAAGGATCATACAGTTTCAGTGGACTGAAGGGAATCCTCCAAGTAAGAAATGGCAAGGCTTAAACAAAGACATGAGCACATGCTATGCTTGAAAGAAGGTAGAATTGGAGGCCAGCCAGTATTGTGGCATAGCAGGTAAAGCTGCTGCCTGTGAAATTAACATCCAATATGGGCTGTTCTACATCTGATCCAGCTCCCTGCTGGGAAAGCAGTAGAGGATGGACCAAGTGTTGGGTTCTGTACCACCCATTTAGGAGATCTGGAAGAAGCTCCTGGCCCCTGGATATTAGCCCAGCCCACCTCTGGCCATTATAGCCACCTTGAGAGTGAACTAGCAGATGGAATCAATCAATCTCTCTCTCTCTTTCTCTCTCTTTCCTGTCCCCAACCCCGTAACTCAATTTTCAAATAAATAAATAAATCTTAAAAAAAAAAAAAAACAAAACAAGGAAGATAGAATTAAGAGACTCAAGGCTTTAGATACCATAGGGATTTGGGGTACCACAGAAGTACCTAGATGATTCTCAACATTCTGAGTTGGAAAACTGGATGGTACTATACAATGAACTCTTGGCAACATTGCTTTGAAGTTTTACTCTTAAGCTAGAACACCTGAGTTTGACTCTAGACTCTATTGCATATTAGTTGTGTGACTCAAAATAATTAACTTCTTGTTGCCTCAATTTCCTCATCTCTAATACAGGAATAATAAAAGTGCCACCTTCATAGGGTGGAGAGAAAGAATAACTTAGTATCTTAGTGGTTGGAATCATAGTGCTCAGAACAGTGTTTGATACGCTTGTTCATTCTCTCTCAGTCATCATTCTCAAAAACATCAACATCAATACTAACCAGTCCTTAAACTTACCCTCAGAGTGAGTAATTGGCTTACTTAACCTGTGGTTCCTTCATTAATTCTCTATTTAATTGCTATTACATTTTACCATATCAACTTGCTTCACAAATTAAATGACAAGTTGGTAGTTATTATACAATAAGGGTTAAAAAATATGGATCCTGGGATGGATGATCTCACTTCCCTACTAATGTGGCACCTGAAAGGCAGCAGGGGATGTCTTAATTAGTTGTATCTCTGTCATCCCTGTGGGAGACCCAGTTTGAATTCCCAACTCACAGACATTTGGGGAGTGAACCAACAGATGGGAGCTCTCTCTGTGATTTCATTCTCTCTTCCTCCTTTTTGGCTAATCAGATAAATAAATAATTTTTCAAAATAGAATCTAGAGTTAGGCAGACTTTCTGATACATCTTTCTGATACAATCTACTAGTTATGAAACACATAAATAAGTGATGTATCTGTTTGACACTTCTGCATATCTTATATCCAGTTTTGTTCTACAGTTATTTTTAAGGAAGTTAGTATAGCAAACAGTTTTGCAAATTGTAGACAGTATCTCCATTTGGTATATTTTTTCCTTGACCATTTTTTCCTTGACCAACTCAAATCAAACGTTGGGCAGGTTGCTAGTAGCCTCTTATAAGACTGGGGTTTTTCTAAGCTTAGGGTTCCTCAGTACTGACACAAATGCAGTATTTGAAGCATTCACTAGTCCAACTCTTTATTGACCTCAAGCAACTTGAGGGGCAAGGAAGCATGAGCCCCATGCTGCCTGATATGGCATTAGTAATAAAGTCATTTGCCTCTGACCCGGGAATCTTATGTCTTCTGCTGGCATCTATTAATCTGTAGCAAACTAACTTGTTATGTTGCAAATAAAGTAAAATCTCAGAGTCTTAATAGTTCCTAGTAATAACCTCTCTAGAACTATCCAACATGGGAAGTGACATACACAGCAGACTCATAGAATGGCAAATGTCCTAAACAGCACTCTGGCCCCAGAATCAGCCCTTAAGGCATTCGGATCTGGCTAAAAAGCCAATAAGAGTTTCTTAGGCATGGAAAGCCAAGACACTATGGCAAAAAAATGACCTAAATGAAAGATCTCTGTGAGTGAGATCCCAGTAGAAAGAACAGGCCATCAAAGAAGGAGGTAACTTTCTCTGAAGGGAGGAGAGAACTTCCACTTTGATTACACCCTTGTCTAAGTAAGGTCAGAGTTTGTGAACTCAAGAGGCTTCTATAACCTTGGCAGCTCATGACAAGAGACTCCAGTGATTACTGACGTCATAAATAAGAGTGTCAATTGTTAAATCAACAACAGGAGTCATTGTGCGCTTAGTCCCCATGTAAGATCTCTATCCTTAATGTGTTGTACTATGAGAATTAATGGTAAAACTAGTCTTCAAACAGTACATTATACTTTATGAGTCTGTGTAGGTGTAAAGTGTTGAAATCTTTACTTAGTATATACTAACTTGATCTTTCATATATAAAGATAATTAAAAATGAATCTTAATGAAGAATGGGATGGGAGAGGGAGTAGGAGATGAGATGAGAAATCTGCAATATGTCCAGAGTCACACAGTTACATAGATGGTCAATATTTATTATTCTCCAATATTAATTTTCAGTGAAAAGTTTACAAAAAAGTATTGGACAGAAAATAGGATAAATGATGGCTCTAAGATCTGGCAAATGATGACTGAAATACAGTGTGCACTAATGAAAACAAACTTCTACCACCAATATGTGCCAGGGAATCTCAGCTCCAACTTGTCCTCATTGCTACAACTTGGCTGAAATATTTAATCTCACCAAATCTCAATCTATTCACTTCCCTAATGGGGTTCAGACCATCCCCCTTTCTTTAATGAATTGCAGCTGTGATGAGTATTATTATTACAGAATAACTAGTAAATTCCTCCTTCAGAAACTAATAAAAAACACTGAGGGATATTTATGATTAATTCCCAAAAGAATATAAAACATTATAATGTTCATATTACATTTATCAAATATATCACTATAGAACTTAAACTCTGCCTTCACAAAAACTCTAGATGCTGAAATCTCCTTTGAGTAGGCTTTTACAACTCAGTGTCAGTCTTCAATAACCACTTACCTGTAACAAAAAGTCAAAAAGTGCCATCTTGGACCACTCGTGGTGATGGATTTCAGTACAGCCCCATTCAGGTTTCGGTACTCGGCCATTCTGCCAGCACTTCTGCTTCAGTAACTGCTGGTAAGATCCCCAGGTGAGCTTAACAGAAGAATGGGTGTCATTACTTGCTGGAGATAAAGAAGAGTCCCAGAGAATGATGGGACATGGGCGGCCATCTAAAGAATCAGAAGAACAAATACACTTTCAGCATGACATGGACTCCAAGGGTTACACTTCAGCAGGCACTTGAATCTTTCAGTCTTACTCTGTCACCTGTCCATGCAAGAGTTTGATTAGAAGATATTTTATGGACCATTTGTCTACTGAGATTTCAATGCATTCATACTTCAATTATGCTTCCAGTCTTATAAAGTGAAAAGTTATTGTTAGGCAATGAAAAAAAAATTAAATGAAATACTTTATAGATGTGGCAGGAATAGGCTACTAACCACTAATAACAACCTCCTCTGGTTAATGTGGTTTTATTCCACATCTAAAAGCAGCCACCACAAAAAAGTAAAGAATCCAGACATTTATAATTGTCTATTGAATGTCTGAGTGGAGTTCTTCTCTATTTGTAATAACAACTGTCTGATTCCAGAGGCCATATTATGATGTCAGGAAGAAAAAGCATTTTTAGAAGGCACAGATTTTAAAGTGAAATTGTATGGTTTGCACAGATCACTGTAATCTCCAAAGAAGGGGAAACAGTAGCAAGTTTTTTTTGGCCTTTTTTGTTTCTTTTCAGATAAAAACCACGCAAGCACAATAGTGCTCTTAGTAATGGACCAGCGTTCTGTTCTTGGTAATGGACCACTCATTTGCACACATCCTCATAAAATAAGTCAACTGCATGTGTATAGTTGATTTCTAAAAAAAAAAATCTGTCACTCAAAATTGTTTTAGTCTCACTCTTGTTAGTTTAGAAATGCAATTTCTTTCATTGCTAAACTGGGTAAAGTATGATGAGCCCCAGTGAAGTCATTATAAACAAGGAAGACCATGATCCAAGCACATTAAACAACACTTTAAGCTGGAAGCCAATAATATGACTCCCAAGCCCCTCTTTCTGCCAAATAAAGTCACAGAGAGATGGTGTTCAACTGCTTTGCTTATGACTTAAAAATCAGAATAATGCTTTTAAAAAAAAAGAAATTGCAAAGATTTGAAAAATCTCACTTAACTCATTCTTAACAGGTCTGAGCAATGGAAGCCTCTAAGTAATGACTGGAATGTGCAGACATGCCACAAAAATTCTTCAAACACCTTTAAATGACTTCAGATGTTCTCAATCGATACCTTTATTCCCAGTTTGTTCACAACGTTTATTTTGCCACCTGGCTTGCTGGCCTTTTTGTAGACTTATTTCCATTCTTTCCTACAGCAAACAGTCATCTTCCCTCACCATTCCTGAACTGGGTGTCACACAAGCCACAATAATTTTAATAGCATTCATTTAATCATTGTCATCACTTGTATTTTAGTTTTGTTTGAAAGGAAAATCTCCTCCTTGCAATTTAGACCTGGGCATGTAGAAAATCCTTTGGATTGTGGAAAATATGCCAGGGACATTGACATACAATTCAGAGAGAAGAAGAGAAAGAAACATGAGCCCTAAGTGAAAACCAAGCAAAAGACTTCATTCATAATATTATTTCTTTCCTTTCTATTGCTTTTTACTAAATGATTTGGGGCTGCTGAGAACCCATTATCTTTTAAGCATAAGCCCATTTCAAATGTTCCTAATGCAAATACTCTGCCAATTGAAAAAGGAAAAAAAAAAAAAAAACACAAAAGCAGAACCTTGTGAAGAGGCAGACATGTCTGGACCAATGTAACCGAATACAAAGACAAAACAAGCCTGCTTTCAAAGGCATGCACTTGAGCTGTCCAAAGAAAAACACCAAGAAGTTCCATCTATCAGTGCCTTTGGACCAAAGTTAGACACAAATAGCACTTTGCATTCTTAGGACTAGGAAGTATTCAGAGAGTTGAAACCTAATGCTGACCTTTAACAACACAAATCAATGCAGGACAGGGCAGTGAGTCCTCAACAATTCACACAAGGCCCTCCCAGGAGCAAGGGAATGAGCCACAGAAAGAACTGAAACTTTCTGGGCTGTTTTTCAGAAGAAATTTCTTTAGAAACACTTGCTTCTTATTGTGAAAGTAATTAAAAGTAAACCCACTAATTTTAGGAAATGTAGGTAAACATACAAATGTATAGGGAAAACAACAACATAACAAAAATCATATATAATCTCATATCCCAGTAATATGTTCTATTATTTATTTTCTTCCAGAAGTTTTCTATTGCTTTCTTTAAAAAAAAAAGATTTTTTTATTATTATTTTTTTTTTGACAGGCAGAGTGGACAGTGAGAGAGAGAGAGACAGAGAGAAAGGTCTTCTTTTTACCGTTGGTTCACCCTCCAATGGCTGCTGCGGCCGGCATGCTGCGACTGTCGCACCACGCTGATCTGAAGCCAGGAGCCAGGTGCTTCTCCTGGTCTCCCATGTGGGTGCAGGGCCCAAGCACGTGGGCCATCCTCCACTGCACTCCTTGGCCACAGCAGAGAGCTGGACTGGAAGAGGGGCAACCGGGACAGAATCTGGCGCCCCGACCGGGACTAGAACCCGGGGTGCCAGTGCTGCAGGCGGAGGATTAGCCTAGTGAGCTGCGACGCTGGCCAAAAAAAAAGATTTATTTATTTGAAAGATAGAGTTACAGAGAGAGGGAGAATGGGAGAGACAGAGAAATCTTCCATTCACTGGTTCATTCCTCAAATGGTCGCAACAGCCAGGGCTGGGCCAGGCTAAAGCCAGGAGCCAGGAGTTTCTTAAAGGTCTCCCATGTGGGTGCAGGGGCTCAAAGACTTGGGCCACCTGCCATTGCTTTCCCAAGCAAATTAACCAGAAGCTGGATAGAAGTGGAGCAGCTGGGACTCAAACTGGCGCAAATATGGGATGCTGGCGTCACAGACAGCAGCTTTACTCATCACTACACCACATGCCAGCCACTCCTTCACTTTCTCTCTCACCTGAAAATGTTCACTGATTTTTAGAATTTTTTAATAAGTTGTTATACACTTTTTGAATTCTGGTTACACCACTGCTTAGCTTAGTGATATTAGACAAGTTATATAACCTCCGTTAACCTTGTTTTTCCTTTTTTGTAAAATGAGCGTGATAGTGTGCCTTTCTAAACTGACTGAGTTAGGTTTAAATGTGATTACATATTTAAAGTTCTCAACCTGGAGCAGATGTTAGCAGAGCAGGCAGGATAGCCACATCCCCCATCAGAGTACCTGGGTTCAATTCTCAGCTCCAACTCCTGACTCCAGCTTCTTACCAATGCAGACCTCTGGAGTTAGCAATGATGGCTCAAGTAGTTGGGTTCATGTCACCCATTTGGAAGACCTAGATTATATACATGGTTCTTGGCTCCAGTCTCAGCCCAGCCCCAGCCATTGGAGGCATTTGGGGAGTGAATCAGCAGAACAAAGTACTCGTTCCATCTCTCTAACTCCACCTTTTTTTTTTTTAAAGATTTATTTATTTATTTAAAAGTCAGAGTTATACAGAGAGAGAAGGAGATGCAGAGAGAGAAAGAGGTTTTCCATCCACTGGTTTACTCCCCAGATGGCCGCAAGAGCTGGTGCTACGCCAATCTGAAGCCAGGAGCCAGGAACTTCCTCAGGGTCTCCCACACGGGTGCAGGGGCCCAAGGACGGGCCATCTTCTACTGCCATTCCAGGCCACAGCAGAGAGCTGGATCAGAAGTGGAGCGGCTGGGTCTTGAACTAGCGTCCTCATGGGATGCCGGCACTGCTGCAGTGACCTAACCCGCTACACCACAGTGCCAGCCTCAGTCTAACTCTATCTCTATCCCTCAAATAAATAAATTAAAAAAAGAATGAAAATGAAAATGATTAAAATTATCAACTGGTACCTATTGTGAATGTGTACCCGAGAGATTTTGCTATACATTACTATCAGGGGTAAGGAGCTAAAATTAGGCAAAGAAAACAATAATTGGACATCATTCTCTATACAGTTTTTCATAATTAATTCACCAAATATTATACCATAAGCATTTCTCCTATAATTAAATATTTTAAGAGTGCAACTGTGTGATGTAATAATCTAGCCCAGTGCTCAGCAAATATTGTAAATGGCCAGAAGTACGTATTTTAAACTGGGGGCAGGGACATAGACCTATTCAACTATACAACTGTCAGTTTAGTCACAGCATGAAAGCCTCCACAGACCTATATACATAATTGGTAGTGACTATTCCAATCAAAATTTATTATGACCTGAATTGTGAATTTCACAAGGTTTTCAAGACCCATCATAACAGTATTATTGTTTCTATTTTTTCAGCCATTTGTAATTACAGAAACCATTTTAGTTTACAAAATAAAATCAAGAAGTGAGCCACCTTTGTCCCATGAGCTATAATTATGTCAATCTCTAATCCACACTTTGAGAATACTATATTGCATTTGCCATTTCTATATTTTAGATCATCAAGTATTTTTTGAAAGATAAATTTTCTATTCTGGTCATAAAAATTATTTTCAAACTGTCAAAGGCAGCACTCAATTGGTAGAAATGACAGGTTTTCCATTAATATCCTATGTTATTTTGTATCTCCACCCATGTTCCTGTACCAGAATATTTTGAATGCTAGCAGATGAAGATGTTCTTTCCTGCCCTGGCAGAATAAATTACCTCTGAGAAAGAGTTTTCCAAAGCAAGACAAGGCAGCAAGTGAGCCTTAAGGACCAGGCTGAGTGAGTGGTGGAGGCCGTAATTCCTTCCTGCTGCCTGTGAGTGCATGTGACCCTTGCAGATCTCAAAGCAATGCGTTACTACTGTGAGAATTTCACTTTTTATAAAATATGGTTTGGATGGAATTAAATGAACATTGATAGATCTTGAGGGGTGACAGAAAAATAGCCTCTGAAAACAGGAAACTGGTTAAGGCAACTTACCCTGAAATGTTTCAGAGACGAGCAGCATTCATCTCCTTGCATTCAGGACTGTCAAAGTGATGCAGTGCCATGCTCTCTAGAGACATCTTAACAGTGAAGAGATAAAATTCTAACTGTCAGAACGGTGAGAAAGCAAGTTTTAAAAGATACGTGGGTGTTCGTGTGAAATAAAGGGTA